ATGGCCACAATAGGCAGGGCTCGCCCAGGCCAAAGCCAGGAGGTAGGAACTTCATCCAATTCCCCCATGTAAGTGCAGGGGCCAAAGCACTGGGAACTTCTTTCGCTGCTTTCCCAGGTGCGTTAGCAGGTTGTGGGATTGGATGCAAAGCAGCCAGAACTTCAGTAGGCGCCCATGTAGCATGTCAGCACTACAGGCAGTGGCTTTTACCGACTATACCACAATGCTGACCTTTACAATTTTTATACATTTTTAGAAAAAAAGTTTAAGACACACATCCTTCCTCTATACCCCAAATACTCAATTGGTCTCTGGCTGATGTTGCAGTTGAGAGCCAGGAACTTGGGCACATCTCATGTGGGTGGCAAGAAGCTGATTAGTTAAGCCATTGCTGCGGCCTCCGGGATGTGCATTGGCAGGTGGGTGGGGTCAGGAGTTGGATTTGTTACAGAAATTCGGCTTCCTTTGTGGCACATTCTTCTGAAGAGTACATGAGATATTCTCCAGGATAGATCATAGTCCACAAAACAAATCTTAAATAATTTAACAAGGTGGGCCTGGTACAGTAGCCTAATAGCTAAAGTCCTTGCCTTGCACACTCCAGGATCCCATATGGGCACCAGTTCTAAGCTGGGCTGCCGGGCTTCCCATCCAGCTTCCTGTATGTGGCCTGGGAGAGCAGTCGACGACGGCCCAAAGCCTTGGGACCCTGCACCTGTGTGGGAGTGGAGGAGGCTCTGGATCCGTGTAGCTCTGGTCATTGTAGCCACTTGAGAACTGAATCATCAGATCTTCCTCTCTGTCTCTCCCTCTCTCTGTATATCTGACCTTGGAATAAAAATAAATAAATCTTTAAAAAAGTTTAACAAGGAACCAAGGAACCAGAATGATATGAAACTGGAAATGAATAATAGAAGAAATTTTGAGCAATTCAAAAGTATGTAGAAATTGAGCAATCATAGGCTATATTAAAAGAAACTAAAAATACCTCAAGGGGCTGGTACCGTGGCATAGCGTGGTAAGCCTTCGCCTGCAGCACTGGCATTCTGTCTGGGCACCGATTCAAGTCCTAGCTGCCCTGTCTGATCTAGCTCCCTACTAATGTGCCTGAGAAAGCAGCAGAGGATGACCCAAATCCTTGGACTCCTGCACCCACGTGGGAAGCCGGGAAGACGTTCCTGGCTCCTGGCTTCAGTCTGACCCATTTCTGGCTATGGTAGCCGTCTGGGGAATGAACGGATGGGAGATCTGTTTGTCTGTGTGTCTCCTTTCTGTAATCCTGTCTTTCACATAAAAATCAGCAAATTAAAAATACGTATCTTGAGATAGGCTGTATTTCCATATTTGCTTATCAGAAATTCTGGGCTTCAACAAAGGTAGGTTAATTTGTCTCACCTGATGCTACATCCTTTTTTGGAGGCCCTGTTTTCATTCTTGCAAATCTACTTCCTGTCCAACTACCTGCTAATGTGTCTGGGAAAGTGATGGTTTCAGTACTTGGTCCCTTGCCACCCGTGTGGGTGGTGCTGCTGGGGTCTCACCTTGGTCTGGCCCAGCGCTGACCATTGTGGCCATCCTGGGAGTGGGTCAGTGGGACAGAAGATGTCTGTCTCTCCCTTTGGAAAGGCATTTGCCAGGTCCAGCATGTTGGTTCAGTTGGCTAATCCTCAACCTCCAAGCTCTGGCCTCTCAGCTGGTGCGTGTCTCAGCTGTTCCACTTCCATCCAGTTCCCTGCTTGTGGTCTGGGAAAGCAAGAGGACGGCCCAAGGCCTTGGGACCCTGTGCTCCTGTGGGAGACCCAGAGGAAGCTCCTAGCTCTGGCTATTGCAGCCATTTCAGGACTAAATCAGCAGATGGGAGATTTTTCTGTTTCTCCTTTTCTCTGTAAATCTGCCTTTACAATAAAAATAAATCTTTTCAAATTTGACAAAATTCAACACTTTGAGGATTAAAAGAAACCTTTCATCAAATTAGGAGGAATGTGCTTTAGCAAAATAATGACTACATATGACAAGACCATGGTTGAAAGCTCTGCTGTAACACAAGGAAAGAGATAAGAATGGCCAAAAGCCTAGATTCTGTTATGCTTTTCTGAAGAATTTTTCTTTTGGAAGCCAGTTAACCTGGCTGATATCTGCCCCCAGCTATCTCTCTGCAGGGTAGCAGCTGAGGTGATTATTTCCTCTGGGCACAGCTCTTCTGCCCGTTCTTGCTTTCCTCCTCAACTCGGGACTGGTTTCAGTTGGCTGAGGTCTTGAGGGAGGACTTCATTATCCGAATTTTTCAGATCAATTCCTGTTTGGCTTCCTGTCTCCCAAGATATCTGTCCTAAATTTCTGCTTGTTCTAAGAGCCTTGGATTTTGTTATCTGATGGTCTCCATCCAGTCATTGCTCCCTGCCCAACCTATGTCCAACAGCAAGCAGGTTCAACAGTGTCCTTGATGTAAAATTCACAAGAGTACAACAACTCCTGGTTGTGCAGACCTACTCCAGTTGTTTCCAGTAAATGTATGCACTCTCTCATGCTAATACTTCCTCAAGAATTTATTTATAGATTTTTTCTCATTGGAAAGGCATAGATAGAGAAGAGACACACAGAGATCTACCCAACTGGTAGAGCTGAACCAATTAAGCTGGGAGCCAGGAGCTGCCTCCTGGTGTCTCCCACATGGGTTCAGCAGCCCAAGGACTTGAAACATCTGCTGCTCTCCCTGGCCATCGTCAGGGAGATGGATTGGAAGTGGAACAGCTGGAACACACACCAGTGCCCATATGGGATGCTTCTACTGCAGGCAGAGGCTTGGTCTACTCTGTCGGCACACCAGTTCACAAGTGCTCTCTTCAGGCACAATAGCTTTCCAAGAGGAAAGGTAGTGCTGATGTTTATTCCTTCAAATATCTCATCTCCTGGTGACTCTCTCCCATGATCATGGAAACACAATGAGAAACCTGAAGTATGTCACTTGAGTTTTCGTCAATGTAGAACTTGGATAAGGAGAAGGTGTTCCATCATTATACTCCCTTAGCAGATTGTTCTCCTAATTGGATGTGGGCCTGAGACTTGCAATAAACTTAGTAGAAAATATCAGAAGTTTGTTGTGCAGTTGGGTGAATCTTCAAGCCAATCACGATTATAAAATTGGGGTGGGGAAGGAAGCAAGTTGGGAGAAGCTGAAAGCAACCAAAAGCCAGCACAAAGTGGATAGCAAAGAGAAAGATTCTCCTTCCGATCTAAGTGTCAAAACAATATCATACTTACATCTAACTCCAGCTTTCTTTGGGGCAGGCATTTGGCACAGCAGTTAAGCCACCGCTTTCCACATCCACGTGCCTGAGGGTGCTACTGTGCCCCGTGGGAGGCAGCAGGTGATGGATGGCTCAAGTACTCGCATCCTGTCCCCCACACAGGAACTCTGGATGGAGTTCCTCTCACCTGGCATGGGCCCAGTCCTGCTAACTGCAGGCATTTGGACAGAGAACTACTTGATGGATATTCTGTTTGTTTCTCTGACTGGCAAGTGAATCATTTGTATTCCAAATCCCATCCACCTAAAGTATCCAAGATAGTATATGAGCAAATCTATAATTAAAGGGTCACTAATTGTATTATATTGCCCAGGAATACAGAAATGCAGCCAGAGGCTATCTGGGAAAGTGGCCACTGCTGTGCAGTTTATACTTCTTCTTTTATGCTTTTTATTTAAAGCTACTTTGATATGAAAGAATCAGAATAGTATTCATATTTATAGTAATTATTTATAGTATTTTACATATATACTTTTTTATTCTTAGTCATGTTTCTTTAGGTGAATATCAAATACCATGTGGTTGCATTTACTTTTTGGTTTTTATGATTTGAGTTTCTTTGTATTTTAAAGGAAGGTTCCATTTATTACACTAAATAATTGTTCTTATTCTGTTATCTTGGTTAATATTAGTTATGTTGGCTTTTCAGAAAAAGATTGATTGATTTAAAAGGCAGGGTTAGAGATAGAATATATCTGCTGGTTCAGTTCTCAAATGGCTGAAACAGCCAGGCTAGGCCAGACCAAAGTCAGAAGCCGAGAACGCCATCTGGGTCTTTTACATGGGTGGCAGGAACCCAGACACGTGGGTTATCTTCTGTCACTTTTCCCAGATCATTAACAAGGATCTGGATCAGAGGTAGAGCACCCAGGACACAAACCAGTTGCCAGTATGGGATGCTGGCATTGCAGGTAGCCACTTTACCCATCGTACTACAGTGCTGACTGACCCTACATAGAATGATTTTTGAAGAAGGGTTTGTATCTGGTTTTAGCATCCTTTATGTATGTATTCATCTGGCTTAGCAATGAAAGCTATGAACATTTTCCTAAGGGTATAATTGTAATATGTATTGTGTATGTGTGTATGTATGTGTATGTATGTTTCTTTATTTGGTAGTATTACTACAAAATCAAACAAAAGAAGCAACATCTGAAAATAATCAAAACAGAATGATTTCAGGCCTAGTACGTTAGCCTAGTAGCTAACGTCCTCACTTTGCATGTGCCAGGATCCCATTTAGGTGCTGGTTCATGTCCCAGTTGGTCCCCTTCCCATACAGCTCCCAGCCTGTGGCCTGGGAAAGCAGTGGAGGATGATACAAGGCCTTGGGAACCTGCTCCCATGTGGGAGACCCGGAAGAAGCCCCTGGCTTTGGATCGGCTCAGCTCTGGCCATTGAGGCCATTTGGGGAGTGGACCAGCAGATGGAGGATCTTTCTGTCTCCTCTCAGAAAAATCGAGTTTTCCAGTAAAAACAAATGAATCTTAAGATGGAAATCATTCTTTTTTTAATTGACAAAGCATGGTTTTATTAACTTTATCACCTGACTGGAATTACATAATGTCAATATTTTTGTAAATGTATAATTAGAAGTTTGGATTATATAAAGTAAGCATCAGCGCACTTTGCTATAGTTATTCATAGTTTGTTTTTAGTCTTTCAGTTAAATGCTGATGACCTATAGATATTTATTATGAAAAGTTTTTCTAAGAAGTGTAACCCGAGCCTTTGTGTTTTAGTCACTCCATGGATTCCTTTGGGCCACCCAGACCAGAAGATCGTCAGTCAGTAGTCAGCAGAATGCAAAAGAAATACTGGAAAACTAAACAGGTCTTTATCAAAGCAACAGGCAAGAAAGAAGACGAGCATTTGGTGGCATCTGATGCTGACTTGGATGCTAAACTGGAGGTAAATTTCAAGATCCTAATTAGTTATTGTCTAGGGGACAATAAGCATTTGCACTGAAGAACTTTAAAGAGAAAGGCAAATTTGAGAACTCAGTGCTTGCTTGTATCTGACTGTTAATCACAGCATCTGGATAAATAGTCATAAATCTCAAAAATTGAGAATTTGAAGAATTGTAATATAAACTAAATAAATTATGAATTAGGTAATTCCTCTGGCAGATATACTGTCTAACCAGCACATGAGAGAACCATGTCCAGGCATGGATTCTGTGGAAGATATACTGTAATCTTAATTGTTAAGTGCGACAATCTTTAATTGTTTAAATTATGTTGTGCTATTTTTTAATACTGCAATTTGAAGTCCCACACCTCATAGGAATAAACTAATTGAAATCAGATAATAACAGGATAAAATAAGACCTATTGTTTCTGTTATTGAGTAATAAGGTTATTGGAGTGTTTCATAATGCCTTTTTTGGCTCTGGTTTTCATTTTAAACAAAAGGAATGACTAGCATAAAACAACTTGAAACCTAGAAATGTTTTATGCTTGTGAATAATTTAGGTAATTAATGGAGTGACATGTAAATTAATGAAAGTCTGGAATTTCCAATGTAAATGTACTAATTCCATGCACATATATACTAATTTAAAATACTCTTATAAATGTTTATGTGTAGTCTTCTGTAATTCGTAGAATATAGCTCTTAAGTTGGGATTCTAAACACATATCTAGTTAAGTAGGCCTTGATGTAAGTATTTTCACTCTGTGAAGAGTAACCTTAAGGCATTATCATAAGACATATGGAAAAGGACAAGGTAACCAGCTTTAACTACTTGTGTTGAAAAGCATTTCTCCTATGAAACTAAAGGGATTTTATTATGGTAAGTAGTGTAGGTTTTAACGCTAATGGAACATGTCACTGTTCCCACATGTATTCCCACATAAGTTAGAATTTTGTATTCTTTACATTGTTGGGCAGTGCTGTGACTTACTTTACAATGTAAACTGGATAAAATATTTGGAATTAACTAAGAACTTTCTTCCACATTTGTACATTTTTTAAAACAGTAACTATTTTCATTACAAAAATGAAAAGCTATGGATAAGTCTTGTAAAATATTATTGGGGGAAAAATCGGCCATAATAACTTCATTATAACAGAACTGTCTTTTTTGGTATGCTTTTCTAAACTTTGTATATGTTAAGACAGATTTTTAAATGTACAAATCTAGATAGTCCAATTCAGACACACCTGGGAACTGATGGTTGCTTGTTAACCAAGAATTCAGAGTATAGTAGCAAATATTCCTCAGGTTTGATCAGTATCAAAGTAACAGTGAAATCGGCAGAGATAGAATATTCAGATTTCTTGCTTTGGGAAATGGATAACTAAAGTTAATATCACACTTGAAATAAGTCTCAGTCATATTCTTTCAATTATAGGACTTGGTGAACAGGAGGCTGTACTTGAAAGCCCATGCATGCTGGGCTTTATCTGGGAAAGCCAGAGTGTACACTTGTGTGTGGAGTTAGGTATATAATTTTGCTCATCTCTAGTTTTCAGATTTTTATCTTTAAAATGAAAGTGTACCATTTTCTTTTTGGCTAGAAAATAGTAATAGTTGTAACCAGGGGATTAAAATTCATAGAAACTGGCAAACCCTCCAGAAGTAATTGTATTTGTTGTGATTCATTTTTTATAGCAAATTCACTGAGTATTTTGCTTAGACCAACCACTTTTTAAGGTTATTTCCACTGTCTGTGTGATTGGCAATATTTGACACAATATATTGGATTTACCTTTTTGGCATTTAGACTGTTTGAAGCTTAGGGTAAGCTAAACTCCAGGCTTGGCTTTCTATTGCTCCTGTGTGTTTATCACCACTTTTCCAAACCTTGCAGGGGAAATCTAAATGTGCTTTCTATAACAAAAAGAAAACAAAAACTGAACTGCAGTCACAGCCAAGGGAGGTAGACATAATATTTATAAAGTAGACATAATACCTACTTACAAGAAATGGTTCTGTTTTTGAAGTGTTTGTAACAATTATATTTGTTACTGTTCTTTAAATTGTCCTAATGCAATTTATATTTCAAGGTTTTTCACTCCATTCAAGAGACATGCACTGAACTTCTGAAGATAGTCGAGAAATATCAGCTAAGACTCAATGGTATGAAATCAGATATCTCATAATTACAATTTAAAATAGATGCAAGTTTTAATTGATTACATTGCATTATGTGACACAATTTTATAGGCACTGGGATCCCCCCTTCCCCAACCCCCGTTCCCCATGGTGGATTCCTCCACCTTGTTGCATTACCACAGTTCAAATTCAGTTGAGATTCTTTCATTGCAAGCATCTGCCAAGTAAAGTCCAGCATCTTACTGTCCAGATAAGTTCAACAGTTTCTTGGAGACCATCTCTGGTCTGAAGGTAAAGCTGGCAGTGTATTGTCCCAATCAATTAAAAGCCCCTACATTACATCAGTAACTATTTATAACGTTATGGAATTAGTTGACATGGTATTGAGTAACCAATATGTTAAAAGAGAAAAAAAATGCAAGTTCTGAACCACATCCTGTGACTTCTACATTGACATTTCAATTATTAGTTTATACAACTGGTTTCTATACATCTTAAAATGGCTATAGATTACTATTCAGCTGTCTCATGTCTATTTTAATTTTAATATTTAGCAGTTTATAGCATTGAAGCATGATTTTGCAGAACCTGGCTGTTTTTCAGGTAGTCTAACTTTATAACTCTAACAAGACATATGTCAACAGTTTAGGTGAACAGTTTTAGGAGGGGTGTGCAGAGAAATCTTCAATACCCTAGTGAGGAGTAACTAATCTTTGTGTCCCACCCAGTGAGTTATAAGTGCATCCCCACTGACTGTTTCCTGTCTGTTTCTAAGCTTTCCTTGTTGTTCTCTATCTATTCTAGGGTTTTTTGTTTATTTGTTTGTTTTGAGGGGTTTCTGGAGCGATCCTGATGCTCATTGCCAGTGAGGGTGGGGAACCAGGCAAGGACCAGAGAAAGCTCTTCTCCCTAGTTCCGAAGGAAAGTACTGTTCTGTTTCTGTAGACCGCTCAGTTCCTGGTTGTCGTTCCGATGACCTTGGATCCTGCAAGGCAGGAATTGGGCTTCTTCCATCCCATGTGGTGGATCCAAATGGAGGTGGGTGACCTCAGAGTTCTTGGCCTCTGGAGGCCTTTCATTTCCCCGTGTGGTCTCCTTGAAAAATAGATACAAATTTTTGAAAATGAAAGTTAAGTTGAAGCATAGTAGTTAAAATAGGCTTTGTGGTAAACTAGGAGTATTTGTAGCAAACTCCAGTTGAAATCCCCAGTATCTTTCTGTTCCTTCCTCAGTTCATAGACTCATTTTGCTGCCCATTCTTGGGTGGACTTGCTGTCACCACCAGAAAACTGTCAACCCCTGTTTGCACTTGAGCTTGACACCCCATTGCACAGCTCTGCTGTGCCCCGTCTGGTTATAGGGTCTCCTTTCCTTTCCCTTCAATCCAGTCAAGTTGTCATGCTCACTACTCTGCCCAACTTCACTTTGTGTACAGCCGCATCTGCCACTAGTTCCAGTCCTTATTTGAGTTAACATGTTTATTTTTTAGAAACAATTGGTTACTGCTGCCTTCTAGATACATCTTCCTCACTGGGTTTCCAGGCATCACATTTCCCTGGTTTTCTTCATCTCTTCATTCTCTTTGCATCCTTCCTTTGCTGAAGTTTTCCTTCTTGACTTTTCCAGGTTGGAATTCAATCTGTGAATCTCTTTTTCAGCTTTAACATGTCCTGCTGGGAGAGGCCATTTCTGATACCAGTAACCTTTCTGACTGCATTTCATGAAACCTTTTATTCTTCGGCCATCATGATCTGTTTTCACAGTAGGCGTGTTTGCGTAGTGGGTTCCTGAGGTTTGCTTAGGTAGTTGGTCAAAAGTCATCTTAAGAATGAGCCCTTCAGGGGGCCTGGCAGCGTGGCCTAGCAGCTAAAGTCCTCGCCTTGAACTTGGGGAGTGACTTTGTAATAAAATCTTTTATTACTATTTTGTTAAAGATTTATTTATTGGAAAGTCAGATACACAGGAGGAAAGACAGAGAGGAAGATCTTCCACCCGATGATTCACTCCCCAAATGAGTGCAACGGCCGATGCTATGCCGATCTGAAGCCAGGATCCAGGAACTTCTTCCAGATCTCCCACGTGGGTGCAGGGTCCCAAAGTGTTGGGCCATCCTCGACTGCCTACCCAGGCCACAAGCAGGGAGCTGGATGGGAAGTGGAGCTACTGGGATTAGAACCGGCGCCAATATGGGATCCCAGTGTATTCAAGGCGATGACTTTAGCTGCTAGGCCACGCCACTGGGCCCATGTAATAAAAATCTTAAAAAAAAAAAAAAAAAAAGGGCCCGTCGCGGTGGCGCAGTGGTTAAGGTCCTCACCTTGCATGCCCGGGATCCCATATGGGCGCTGGTTCTATCCCGGCAGCCCTGCTTCCCTTCTAGCTCCCTGCCTGTGGCCCGGGAAAGCAGTCGAGGACGGCCCAAGGCTTTGGGACCTTGCACCCGCATGGGAGACCCGGAAGAGGCTCCTGGCTTCGGACGGCATAGCATCGGCCGTTGCGCTCACTTGGGGAGTGAATCATCGGATGGAAGATCTTCCTCTCTGTCTCTCCTCTATGTATATCCGCCTTTCCAATAAAAAAATAATAAAAATAAATCTTTATAAAAAAATGAGTCCTTCCCTGAGCTCTGAGTCTGAAATGCAATATTGTTCTCCCTTATAACTGCCCATTTAGTACTATTCAGCATATGTTATTTTTCTAGAATATGCTCTCCGTAAGGACCAGATTCTGGCTGTTTATTTTTGAGTCTGCTAAAGTTAGAAACAATGTCTTATATAATCAGTTCTCAGCAAAGCTTTGCTCAGTGAACAAATGATTTTCTTGTGAAGCTCTGCAAATTAATTTTATTACTTTATAATCAATGCTTGTATATTGTCCCAATACAGAAAGAAATCTGGTATGACATGACTCAAAGTGCACCTGCCATGTGCAGGGCCTTGTGCTTTCCCCAAGGAAATACAAACAGTTTGAGCAACAATTTGCTGTAACAAAATAAAAGTTGGTACAGATCTTCAAAAAGTGTATGGAAAAGGCATGTTATGAAAAAAATGAACATACATTTCATAATTTAACTCATTTTAAAAGACTTATTTTCATTTGGAAAGTCAGATTTATATAAAGGAGAGACAGAAAACTTCCATCTGCTTGTTTATTCCCAAAGTTGCCGCAATGGCTGGAGCTGAGCCGATCTGAAGGAGCTTTCTCCAGGAATCCCATGTGGGTGCAGGGTCCCAAGGCTTTGGGCTGTCTTCCATCACTTTCCCAGGCCACAAGCAGGGAACTGGAAGGGAAGTGGAACAGCTGGAATTGAACTGGCGCCCATAAAGTCCATGCAAGGCAAGGACTTTAGCCATTAGGTTACTGTGCCAGGCCCAATTTAGTTCATTTTTAGATTCTATTCTATAGCCTTCTAAAAGGCTCCTGTTAGGTAATGGAGTTCGGAGTATTACAAAGTTGTAACTCTCAATTCCTAGGTGTGAAAAATAGGAAACAGAGTAATCGATCAGTAAAGGTAACTCTACTGATGGGAACTGAAGTATAACCAAAATGGTTTCTAGAAGTTGAGTATGGGGAGAAAAGAGCAGATCTGGGGTTGAGGGAATCAGTTTAAAGAATGAGAACAACCTGAGTAGGCAGACAAGTTTGTAATTGGAACTAGATGGATAAAGTAGCCCGGGAATTTTGAGGTCAGATTACCAAGGACCATTGCTAGTTTAGTAAGGCAAAGAAGCGTAGATCAGGAAGACACCATGTTTCTCTTCTCGATTGTGTGCATCTGTGATCTCTTGAGGACTTATTTCGTGATGACTTCTTGGAGACTGTTCATCTCAAATTGGGAATAAGCGCAGCCCAATGCAGGGTGTGCAGGGTGACAGATGTTTAGGGCAACCATGTGACTGTGGGACGAACAGTAGGGTAGGAAATCTAGATTTGTGGCAGACAGGTCCTCAACACAGAAGCCACTGGGGTTCAGCCTCATCAGCCTGCATTCTCTCCTCGGAGGTTCTTGAGCACTCATGTTCAGATGTTACTTGTCTATTTATTGAAAATTTCAAAATTATTTTCCATGATACGTTTTTGTAGGAGTAGGGATTCCCCTTCCACCTCCGCTTCTTCCCTCCTCTCTCTCTCCCTCTTTCCCCTCCTATTATTGCAGGAATATAGTCCTTTAGCAGCGATCACAAGTCCAACATTCTGCTATTTAACTGTATCATGGCCTTGTACGTGTTGGTAGTGGTAGAAAATCTAGCATCCTATTGCCAGGGTATATTTAACAGTTTCATTGGTGGTCTTTCTTTTATTCAGGGATGCATACTGTAATATATCTTCATTTCCTGGTATGCTAGTCTCCATTTTACATTATAGTTGACATTATACAGCTCATTTATGAGAATATATGTATATACATATTTATGTATCTAATATTTTGCATGAATGTCACCTTATTTCAGAACATATGATTATTTGTCTTCTGGGGTTTGGTTTTTTCACTGAGCATAATGGTCTCCAGTTGGGAGCATTCTGTTGCAAATGGTAGAGTTTTTAATGAGTAGTATTCCATGGAGTAGATGTACCACAGTTTCTTTGTCCATTCCTTTTTTGAAGGGCATCTGGGTGGTTTCTTTGCTATTGTGGATTGTGCTGTTACAAATATAGGTTTGTCTCATATGTGGATTTTGTTTCCTTTGGGTATATTGTCAGGAGTGCAATAGCTGGCTCATACAGTGTACCAGTTTTCAATTGTCTTAGCAGTCTCCATACTGAATTCCGTAGTTGCTGCATTGGCCTACAACAGAAATCAATGGCTCTAGTTCAGCTGTATTTGATAACTGAGTTACTGGTTGTCAGAGTGTCTTCTGACTAATCATACAAAAATGATTATTTTTTTTCCTAATAGTTTTCATTGAAGTATATTATTATTTTTTAATCCAAAAGGAAATGTACCACACATCAGTGTTCTGGGGTGAAAGCAGGCACATTTGTTTTTTTGTTCCCTTTATAGTCACAATTTGAACACACTTTGGGCTTCCCACTTTGTTAGTCTTTGAGGGATACCTAACATAAGAGCTGGGTTTCCAAAACTCTGTGGATGAAAGACCAGTTTCTTGATTTTTTTTTTATTTCCAATCTATTGTAACTGAGCTGTTCATGGAATGTTCATTTTTTTATAAAAACTTAAACATGCAAAAATGTGAGCCCCTTTTCAGTTAGGTGTGGCAGACATGAGTCTGTATGCAGACAGGAGTCTGTATGCAGTGAACACGGGCTGGTGTTCGATGGTTCTGGACTGCACTACTCTGCAGCCCGTGCTTGGAGAGCAGCATCAAGGGTTTGTGTGGCAGAACTGTGGGTCTGGTAGAGGCTGACTATGGGGAGTGGAGGCCAGGACAGGGATCAAGAGCAATGAACAGCCTGAAATAAGAAACAAGTCCAAGTAAGGGCCAGCAACCCTGAAGTGCCGCTGTGTGTTAGAAAATGCTCCGCCTGTGACTGTCTTGTTTTGGAGGGTTTTTGTTGTTACTAAGGGTTTATTTTCCCAAGCATAGTCAAATAGGTTCACTGCATCAAAAGCGTGTGGAGTGTGCGTAAAAACTAGGTCCCCAGAGCTATAAATCAAAATTCCTGGGAACAGACCCCTGGGTTGACGTTTTTAAAACGTCTCTCAGAGCACTTGTTTAACTGAGCAGTTAAGACAATGGCTCAGAGGCCTGTGCCCCACATCCGAGTGCCTGGCTCCCAGCTCTACTTCCTTACTGTGTAAGACCCCAGGAGCCAGCAGGTGATGGCTCAAGTGTTTGGGTTTCCGCAGCTCGCGTGGAAGACCTGAGCTGTGTCCCCAGCTCCACGCGCCAGCTCCGGCCCAGCCCCAGCTACTGCAGGTGCTTGGGAGCTTGCTGGCTTCTCTTGCTCTCTTCCTCTTTCTTTCAGATCAACAAAAATTAAACAACAAAATCTCTGCTTTTCTTCCTACAAATAATTCTTAACATACAGTTTCTGCTGTAAGAATTTAAGTTGTGTGTGTATGTTTTAAACAAGTAATGAAATGAAATACTTAACTATGCTGAAATTTTTCTTCCTAGTTATATCAGAAGAAGAAAATGAGCTAGGTCTCTTTCTAAAGTTTCAAGCAGAACGGGATGCGACTCAAGCTGGCAAAATGATGGACGCCACTGGCAAAGCACTGTGTTCCTCAGCCAAGCAGAGGTTTACCGCGATTCCTCATCCTTAAACTTGTGTCAGTGTGGGCGGTGGTGGCTTACAAACTTAAATTTATTTGGAAAGATCACTGATCATTCCAATAATAGAGTTAAACATGAAATGTCTTCAAAAACTTCTTGGAAAATGTATATTACGAAAAAAAGAAATGTATAAGTCTTAACACCAAAATAAGCTGAACTATTTTCCAGGAACTTTTTGAAGTAACCTTGTACATTGCACTACGTTCTTGTTTTGATACCCAATTATTTGTATTTAATCCTTTAAAAATCATTGCTGTCATTTGCTTAATTTCCAGAAATAACGTCTAGTCCTGTCTTTAAGTGATCTAATACAACAGTCACAAAAAGACTAACGGCTTTAAACACATGAGTTTCTAGGTTTTTCTCCTTTTTGATATTCTGAGTACATTGAAGGAAATTTTTGTTTAATCACATATCTGACATTGTTTCATTTTTTTAGTACAATACCCACTGCAGATAATACTGTAATTACCAGATGTAGGGCAAATGTTTGCATTGCGGAAGACGCATGAGAAGAGGCCTTACCAGACCCGCAGGGACGATGTCCAGCCGAAGGGGACTGCTGTGCAGTGTCACAGCGGGTGCGCAGCTGGAGCCTGAAGGAACCAAGAGCGGCTCAGGAGGAAGCAGAGCAGAGGCACTCATCTGCTTCCTCAGGGCTTGTTTTCTTATTCTGCTCCACATCAGCTGAGAACATCATACTCATGAACCATTGTTGCATTTTATGGGCTTTTATGCACCCAAGTCTTCTCAATGTGTGCATGGGAAGTATCCCTGTGAACTGTGCATTATGAATGCAGGTCATCTGTTAGCCTCGGAATTCTTGGAAATGGCTGGCTGGCTGTTAATGTTGTTTAACATCCAAAGTGTTCAGACTTCCTAAGGTTATAGGAAGGACTGATACATCTTTATGAATAAGGATCTTAGTAGTTAATTTCAACTTATCTGCTTTCTAAGTAGGCATCTTCCTAATTTCCTATTTGTAAATGAGATCTCAAAAAGGGTTTATGATTGGTTTAGACCGTGGTTTTGCTTGTGGGATCCCAGCTTTCTGATTCTGACCTCTGTGCTGTTAGGTTGGCGCTGTGTACTCCCCTGTCACGTCTGAAGCAAGAGGTAGCCACATTCAGCCAGAGAGCAGTGTCTGACACCCTGCTGACCATCAACCGGATGGAGCAAGCACGCACAGAGTACAGAGGCGCCCTGCTGTGGATGAAAGATGTGTCGCAAGAGCTGGACCCGGACACCTCAAAGCAAATGGAAAAGTTCCGGAAAGTATGAAAACCTATTCTTTCCTTTCTTTGCATGACCTATGGAAGCATAACAGAATAATTGAGATTATAAAATGGCAGAATATTTTTCAAAAACACAAGCTTTTTTATAAATGCTAGGTTGCTTGGAAATTTTGGTTGAAGTGTAAAGGGTTTTATATTTTTCTTTGTTTATAAAGTTACTCATTAGAACTTCTTTTTAGGGGCCTGGTGGCGTGGTGGCCTAGTGGCCTAGTAGCTAAAGTCCTCGCCTTGAACACCAGGGATCCCATATGGGCACCAGTTCTAATCCAGGCAGCTCCACTTCCCATCCAGCTCCCTGCCCGTGGCCCGGGAAAGCAGTCGAGCACAGCCCAAAGCCTTGGGACCCTGCACCCGTGTGGGAGACCCAGAGGAGCCTGGTTCCCGGCTTCAGATTGGCACAGCACCAGCTGTTGCGCTCAGAGTGAATAAAAAATAAAATAAATCTTTTTTAAAAAAACTTCTTTTTAAAGATTTATTTATTTTTATTGCAAAGTCTGATATACAGAGAGGAGGAGAAACAGGGAGGATCCCCCGTCCAATGATTCACTCCCCAAGTGACTGCAATGGCCAGAGCTGAGCCAATCTGGAGCCAGGAGCCTCTCCCGGGTCTCCCACATGGGTGCGGGATTCCAAGGCTTCTGGTCCTCTTTGACTACCTTCTCAAGCCACAAGCAGGGAGCTGGATGGGAAGCGGTGCTGCCAGGACCAGAAACGGTGCCTGGCGTACACAAAGCAAGGACCCCAGCTGCTAGGCTGCTGTGCCAGGCTCTACTTTTTTTTTTAATTTATTGTTTTAGATTTATTTTATTTTTTTTTTGTAAAGATTTATTTTTATTATTTTTTCATTGGAAAGGCAGATATACAGAGAGGAGAGACAGAGAGGAAGATCTTCCGTCCGATGATTCACTCCCCAAGTGAGCGCAACGGGCCGATACTATGCCAATCCGAAGCCAGGAGCCTCTTCCGGGTCTCCCACGCGGGTGCAGGTTCCCAAAGCTTTGGGCCGTCCTCTGCTGCTTTCCCAGGCCACAGGCAGGGAGCTGGAAGGGAAGCGGGGCTGCCGGGATTAGAACCGGCGCCCATATGGGATCCCGGGCGGCAAGGTGAGGACCTTTAACCACTTGCGCCACCGCGCCGGGCCCGATTTATTTTATTTTTATTGGAAAGGCGGATATACAGAGAGGAGAGACAGAGAGGAAGATCTTCCATGCGATGATTCACTCCCCACGTGAGCACAATGGCCGATGCTATGCCGATCTGAAGCCAGGAGCCTCTTCCGGGTCTCCCATGTGGGTGCAGGGTCCCAAAGCTTTGGGCTGTCCTCGATTGCCTTTCCGGGCCACAGGCAGGGAGCTGGATGGGAAGTGGAGCTGCTGGGAATAGAACCGGCACCCATATGGGATCCCGGGCGTGCAAGGCGAGGACCTTAACCACTTGCGCCACTGCGCCGGGCCCGGCTCTCTACTTTTTAAAAGATTTTATTTTATTGGAAAGTCATATATACAAACAGGAGAGACCGAGGAAGATCTTCCGTCCAATGATTCACTCTTTAAGTGGCTACAATGGGTAGTCCTGAGTTGATCTGGAGCCAGGAGCCCTCTGGGTCTTCCATGTGTGTGCAGGATCCCAAGGCTTTGGCCATCTTTGACTGCCTTCCTGGGCCACAGGCAAGGAGCTCGTGGGAGGCGGAGCCACCAGGATTATGGTGCGTACAAGGTGAGAACTTTAGCCATTGGGCTACCACACCGGGCCTGGTTTTCTACTTTTTTTTTTTTTTTAACTTCTTGGCATCTCTACTGGATCAAGCTTTTTCCTTTTTCCACCTGCTTGAAAGGAAGAGCAAGAGATAGGAGGGTGAAGAGAGATCTTCATCCACTGATTCATCCTCCTGATGCCTTGTGAGAGCTGTGGCTGAGCAAGGCCAAAGCCAGGAACCCACTCCATCCAGGTCTCCCATGTGGGTGGCAGGCACCAAGTACTTAAGTCATCATGTGCCACCTTCTAGGATGTGTTAGGAGGCTAGATCAGAAGCAAAGATTCTGGGACTCCAACTGTCACTCTGTAATGGACATCCCAGACAACAGCTTAACCCGCTGAGCTGTAACGCCTGCACTCCCCCCACCCCCCTTTTTTTTTTTAATTTGAAAGGCTGTGAACAGAAAGGGACAAAGAGCTAATATCGATTGCTTGCTCTCCAAATGCTTCCAACGTCAGGTCTGGCTTAGAGCTGAAGCCTGGAGCCAGGGCTTCCAAGGACCTGCCTGCAGTGTCTGTGTTGGCAGGAATCAAACACAAGACACTCCACTGTGTGACACAGGAACCTTAACCACTAGGCTACACATCCGGTTCCTTGTTAACTTTTTAAACTGCATCTATTATGAAGGAGATTTAGACAACCATTGCTTACTTGTACTTTGGGGATTTGCTTACAGGAAGAAAACTGTTTATTTCTAGGGGAAATATACATAATTTAAGGAAAGAAATTCATTTAAAAGTGATAATTATATGATAAGAAAACATGACGATTACCAAGATTTCATCCTGCCACAATACACACTTTGACCATAGATTTTGTAAGCAACTGTGTGTGGACATACCATTTTGCCAAATAAATTTCTTATTATAACTTATACGCCCTAAATGTAGCATATGAATAATACAATTTTTTTAAAGATTTATTTATTTTATTACAAAGTCAAATATACAGAGAGGAGGAGAGACAGAGAGGAAGATCTTCCATCCGATAATTCACTCCCCAAGTGAGCGCAACAGCCGGTGCTATGCCGATCTGAAGCCGGGAACCAGGAACCTTTTCTGGGTCTCCCATGCGGGTGCAGGGTCCCAAAGCTTTGGGCCATCTTCGACTGCTTTCCCAGGCCACAAGCAAGGAGCTGGATGGGGAGTGGGGCTGCCGGGATTAGAACCGGTGCCCATATTGGATCCTGGGGCGTTCAAGGCAAGGACTTTAGCACCTAGGCCACTAGGCCGCCGGGCCCATGACTAATAAAATATTTAGAGATCCCATAAAAACAGTCCTGCTGCCTACTGCGCTGGAGCCATTCCTCCATGCTGCTGCTGTGTCTTGCCTTGTGAATGACTTCTCGCAGTCCTGAGAGGCAGGTGGACAGGAGGCCCCAGCAGCCTCACGTTCCATCCCCTTCAGTCCCTGACCACTAGAGGCCTGGCGCGATAGCCTAGTGGCTAAATCCTCATCTTGTCTGCGCTAGCATCCCAAATGGACGCCAGTTTGTTTTCTCGGTGTCCCACTTCCCATCTAGCTCCCCGCTTGTGGTCTGGGAAAGTAGTAGAGGATTGTCCAAAGCCTTGCACCCACGTGGAAAAAGCTCCTGGATCCTAGCTTTGAATTGGCAGCTTAAAAATAAAAATGTTAGAAAAAAAATCCAGTATCATGGTTGAATGATAGCATAAATGTACTACATGCCGCTTTAAAATGACTAATTATATGTGATGTAATTTCTCCTTCTGAGTAAAGCGAAAAGCTTCTACACCCTCCGGGTCCCTCCGGGGAAGCCCAGTGGGGTCTGACGGCTGGTCCACCCGCAGGCCATCTTGAGCTTGCTCCCTCTGCTAGGGGCAGATGCGCTCCTCCCGCCTCCTTCCTGAGGAGCACACAGGCTCCTCACTCCCTTCCTGCTGCCAGGACCTTTGTCCTTGCTTCTCCCTGGGCCCAGGCCACATTCCTCTGGGTCCTAGCATGGCCTGCTCATCATCCTTCGGTCCCACTTCAAACGTCACACATGAAACTCTAGGGATTGATTAGAAGTGGCCTCCCATTTCTGCTCATTTGTGCACTCTTTTGCTAACCTGAGATTATCATACATTTCACTTCATTCTTGTGCCCCATTAGCCGAGGATGGTGGGGCAAAACCCTTGTATGTATCACAATATCCCAATACCTAGAACAGTATCTTGCACATAAGATATCTTAGCTATTTGCTGAGTGAATATTCTGTTTATGTCAAGGAAGCAGATGTCCTGAGAACATAGTGATACCCTCCCTCCATCTGAAAGTTGAACCTTCACCCTGCCTTCTGACAGCTTTCACTCCATATCCAAGAGATATGCACATCTTTAAATGTATGAATATCTGCATAAATATATTAATGCTTCTCAACTTGGTAGTTTTGTTTTATTTCCATTTATTCTATTCCTAGCTAAATATTATCCATAAGTTGTTTCAGATGTTTTTCTGTATTTGGAATGTATTTTGGCGTGCTGAACTATATTTTCTATTATCTCTTAATTTCTTTTTTTAAAGATTTATTTATTTATATTACAAAGTCAGATATACAGAGAGGAGGAGAGACAGAGAGGAAGATCTTTTCGATGATTCACTCCCCAAGTGACCGCAATGGCTGGTGCTGCACCGATCCAAAGCTGGGAACCAGGAACCTCTTCCAGGTCTCCCACGCGGGTGCAGGGTCCCAAAGCTTTGGGTCATCCTCGACTGCTTTCCCGGGCCACAGGCAGGGAGCTGGATATCATCTCTTACTTTCTCAACTTGGATAGTTACTAGAAAGAATCCCCGACAGTTATTTAAAAGTCTTCATTATCAATCGTGAATACTAATGAGACAGAAAAAGTGGGTATAGTTTCAAGTATAGCTTCATGTTTTGCATATCATAAAGTATCATGAATCTATATGCTGTATTTACATCAGTGTTATTGGTATTATTAACATTTTGTGATTGCAGGTCCAGATCCAAGTGAGAAATAGCAAAGCTTCTTTTGACAAGTTAAAGATGGATGTTTGTCAGAAGGTGGACTTACTTGGAGCTAGTCGCTGCAACATGTTATCTCACTCACTCACTACCTACCAGGTACCCACCTCCGTGGTCAGCATGGCCTTGCAGTAAAGACGTGTGGTGAGATTTCATTTTAAAAGTTGTCTAAAGGGTGCAAAATTGACCACATTCCTTTGACTCTGTTCTGACTCCGATGTTATGGCAGAGTCTTACAGTATTTCAAACTTGCAAGAGACCTTGGAGATGGCCTGCTTCCAGAGCTTCACATTGTTCTCCTGGGTGTCCTTGGAGAGAGAAATC